GATCGCACGTGGTCGTGTGGACAAGACAAGGGCAGAAGACAGGCCAAGCCAGCTATAGCGGCTCGCCAGCCAATGATTGTTCTCTAACACTCAGACAGTGCAATTCTATTAATGGCCGAAGCGAACCGGTTACCACATCATAATAACGACGTGATGGCACAACTATCGTGGTACTGGTATATCGTTGAAACTGACAACTTCAGACCTCGTAAAACCTATGGAAAAAAAACTTCGTTGAAATCTTTACTCACGCTGTCGCTAAGCTCTGGACCCATCACATGTTCCTTCGTCATTTTTACTAACCTCGTGTGTTTGGCCTACTCTCCAGGATTGCGGTCATGTGAGCAAAAGATCATACTATTTGGTGGGTCATGCCGTTACGGCAAAAGTTTCTTTTTAGCTTGGGGAAATTCGCCTCTTGGTTTTACAGGTTTCTCACAGTTCCTATCGAAAGAACAGATGCGGTACAATTACAGCTAAGTCATATGTACAGATGAATGTACAAATACTTCCATCTTAGTATACCGGGCATATCAATGGGTGCCCCGAGTACTTTGACAGCAATGAATGTAATTCACTTTTAGGTAACAGCACCATTTTATTTACTAGTAGTACACTGGCAAAAAATGCCAACCCTCAAACGTCACCGTGCCATCAGCAAATAGGGCAATCGGAACTTTATCCCAATTCACGTCATCAGTTTTATCGAGAAGAGATAGTGATTAATATTAGTAATGATAATATTAGCATTATGAGGAAAATCATATCGATAACTATTACTTCCCTCTTTTGTGGACGACGAACGATGTTCACACGAGTATATGAAACCATATTTAGGCTACCATCTTCCCTGTGCTTCATCCGGTACGCCCTGGGTCGGCCCAGGAACTTCGATTGGTGTACATGATCACATAATCTGAACATCATTCGACTTTTATTAGATTACAACTGGTACGTATTACGGATCTTCGCTGTTGGATCTTTGGTTGGTTTCATTGGGTTGGGTCTGGTCGACTGAATAATGGCGTGCGACAAACTTACCATGGCGTCTCGCTATTACTCTGTGACAACAAAACTTTGCTGCTGACAATAACGATGGTGATAATTATTATTACAGTTGACTCTACGACAAACAAGTCGGAATCATCCCTTCACATGGGATCGGTCTGCGCTTGCTACTCACTTGCACGGCCCCTGGCATTGAATCCAGACCTTTGTCAATTGTTCCTCTAGCCGCAACACGCCGTAGACGGCTCGTTAGTACTTACCATCGCCCGCCGCCATCTCATTGGTCTTGCTAGTCCCATCGTTAGGTTTTACGTCTACTGTAGTGGGAGTGTTGCCCTTCAAGATGTTGGTCGACACCCGCAATGCCTGTTAGTTCGTCCACCAGCGTCGCTGAAACTGATGTTGATTTGATCGCTGCCGATTCTGTTCCGTTGGTGTTTACACTGTTACCGGTGCGGCAGCACTTTCCGACAGCGACAACGATGAGTTCGCAGCGTTATCGGCGACTGGCATCGTGACCCACTAACGGAAATCGGATTGCCGCCGGTCTCAGCCGCTCAGGCTGGCTATGGCGGTGGCTGGTTGGTATCTTCTTTCTAGACGCCATCTCTTCTGCCGACCCAATGGACCCACGTTTTGGGCAGCAAATATTCTTCGGCGCCGTCATGAGCGCCTTCTTTGTCATACGTCGACGTATCAAACCGGACGAGTTAGGAAAGACGCAGTGGCCGATACCACCTGATAGGTAACTGCTGGCAGCACTACTCCCAGCTAGAAGAGTGCCATTGCAAAAAAAGAAAGGGCTGATAAATGCCACAACGCCCAACGATCGTTGTTGCAGCAACAGATACAGCCATTTTGCCGGCGGTGGCAGGCATCGGTTGAAAGATATTTCGGCCTGTTCTGCTGAGGCTCACTGGCTGGCTAAAAGGCTCACTAACTGGTCTGGAAGAACAACTGGCGAGTCACGAATCGCGGATACGGGCGCGTCGAACAGGGACTGCTAAGCAAGCAGTTATGATAAGGCCAATGAAGAAATCGAATCAAGCTATATTCTTCACTGAAGACTGCTCCTGCTAACCAACAGCTGCTGGCCGCGCTGACGTGAACAGCGAACCGAAGCGGAGTTAATCGTTGAATAGTATTGCAGAGCAGAAACACGTGCGTCTGCTCGGTAGACGACGCTACCGAAGGTGAAGCAATAACAGCAACAGAGATTTACGATTTGAGCTGGCGCTTCAACCACGCGAAGCCACGCTGCGTGTTGAACTTCATTGACGCTGAGACGAACAGCGCTAGATTTAACGTTTCCAAATAAACACACAACCTAAAGGGGAGACGTGAGATAAGCAACTGATGTTTAGGAATTAACTATGTGGGCACTGCGACGGAGGGCGAGAGAGAGAGAGAGAGAGAGAGAGAGAGAGAACGAGCTGGGAGGTTAACGTCGAGCTTTTTTTTTAATATTATGATGGGGCAATGTCCACAGGTAAGGCTAACGCATTCCAATGCCCAAAATATAGACAAATGTGTTAATAAGTTTGTGGTGTTTTCACACTTACTGCCTGCTCAAACAAATAAGAAAAAACCTTCGACAACGTGGAAAAGCAAATATTTCAGTAAAAACCTTCACAAAGAGCTGAATGAACTAATTGCTCGTAGTATCCATCGGCGGATTCTAGCACATTAAGCACATGCGAAACAAGCAGGAGTTCGTGTCTCAAGCACATGTCCATCCAATTGTTGGACTTTGCCTTAATATTATATTTACCTCGAAACAGACGGAAGCGTAAATTATGGCAGATTGAAGACGCTATGCCTGGAGCAATGCTTAACACACGTAGAACTCCAAACATTTAGGTTAATAATACAACGCAGAAAAAGCGATGCCGTTTCGCTTAGCGCACAGATACACATAGATGGATTAAAGGCGAATTTGTTTCCTGTTACTTTTGTCGTTATTTTTTATTATATGGTGTCAACCGGATGTTGGAATCGCAGATACGCCACCTAAATCACATGCGCTCGTTTGAAGTAAGCGGACTCAAGAATTCAAGCTATTAGGAGCGTATAGCACAGGTCTGTAGAACATCGTTGTGACGATGCAGTACTAATATGGTGGCTTGCTAAATTTCGTCTAGACTGAAGGATAGGCCATAGGCACGCGGTTCGTTCCGTGCTTTAGGAGGCCGTGTACAGTAACGCGCATAACAAAAACAACAGACCTGGGCATACAACTCGAAATAGTTACTGATTTCAGTTCCACATGCATAGTGATTGATGATCAACAATATATTGATTAGCAGATGAAAAAAAATCCCAGTAGCAGCTCATTCGCCCAGTTGGACCATGTGCTTCTTATACAGACAGCACTAATGAAGTATATTGACCCCGCGCAACCACAAAGACCCAGTTCTACAATCTACAAGAGATCTGCCGTGTTTGCATTCGTCCAACCGGCATGGGTTTAGAAAATCTATGCTATCTTCCCATTTAGTCAAAGCTGTTTCGTACAACTCAGAGTTTATGCCATACCCATATTTACGGTGCATAGGCTGTATCGATGTTGGTCGCTACTTGTCTGATCGTTCAGGCGCCTGCTAGTGCGGGTGGATCACCAAACGGCGAAGGTGAATTGGTGGCTGCTATGCTACCAGGAAGTCGTCAGCGGTTCGGAAATTCGCCGGATCCATCGTCCAAGAAGCACAAATGTGATAGCGACCACATGAGCTTCAAAGTCAGCGTTTGCCCATGGTGCAGACAACACTTTTCGGCACCTTAGTATCGGTACGAATAACGAAATCTTAGGAGCATTTTGAGCGTGGGGCATCAAACCCTACCCAAAATAAATACGCACATACAATTGTGTAGCATTAGATACCCTCATTACAGAGAACTAGATTGTCTCCGAGACAACCTGCACAACTAATTGGAACAGCTACTGATGGAGAGGTTTTTCGAGCTCAGTGTTAGTCGAAAGCAAAAATGCTGCTTCTAAGCATGGAGGCATGGAAGGTCCGCATTAGGCAGCATTGTAAATCGATAGCAAGATCATATTTTTTTGGCATGTAATCATGCTAATGGCGATGGCTTTAAAGTAAAATAGGAATTATTTTTCCGGCTTTAGCACTAATAGAAAATAGATCGCCGTTTTAGCAGGTATGGCATATATATTCAACTTTTCGAAGAAACTTTTGTTGTTTTTTTCAAGTGAACTGAACTTTCCAACTTTAAGTGACTTAGCAAACGCCCAAACGAAGCAACAACCTATAAGCAAACATTTTCGCAATACGAATTCAATTTCGTTGCCAATTGCCGAAAACCACACGCCACGCCTACGTCCTTAACTACTACAATTGTACAGAATGATGTCTGTTTGTTTTTAACAGGCGTTGCATGTTTGACGTCGTTTTTATACTCAAATTGCAGCGCTCGCTCTGTGCTGTCCCAAAAAACGATGCCCTATACCGTAGCGTCATGACATCCTGTAGTACACTATCCTGTAACAGGCAAACGTTACCTTGAAATTACCTCACGGAGAAGGTCGGGCGTTTGAATTATCAGCTCGATATATCCGGGAAAAAAATTGTTCCATGCGTCATCAAAAAAGTCTCGCACGTCACATCGGCGGTAACATTTTAACGTACAGAAATTCAGACACCAACCGGAAATATTATGCTTTACGTGTGTGAATGAAAGCATTTCTTGCATCTGTTGTACAAGAAGTAAGATGGCAGGCTTGAAGCCATAAAGCACCTGGTAGGCTCCAGTGCTAAAAGACCCGTGCGGATTGTCAATACAATTATTACTATGCAAGGACGCAAGGCAATTGGAGGATCATTTTCAAAAAGACTCATGATTCTACTTTTTTTTTACGCCAAACAACTTTGAAAGAGAGCTGCATTACTTCCTGAGATTAAGGTAATTTGTGTTCTGATTACGACGACTGAAGTTAGATCATTACAAATTGCAAAAGTTATTTTATAACTTACAAGTTTCACTATGTACAGTTGGATGTCATTACAACAACGGCATGTTGCGGTCGTCCGAGCACCTGGAAACAGGTAAACAAATAAAAAGCTAGGATTAACATTTGTTCATGTACCAATTTTTTACCGCGCACAATACACAGCTTAATTTTTCGAGATGTATAAGGCCTTGATAAAACTGCAGCTTATCGGCCTATTGAAACTATTGAATACAACTAGAAAATACCTATATTCACTAATTAACTAATAAAGAATTGTAAAAATAAAAAAGCGACCGAGTTTCCCTAGTTAAAGGAATGAATAGTAAATAATTGCAAGGACGTTTGCTATTCTTTATTGTTGAGCCTTCGTGACCGATCGATGCAATCCAGTTTTCCATAGGGTACTATTATACCAGTACTAAAAGTGATGGACCTCGTCGAAGTTGTTGCGGCGGCAAATGTCATAGAGCAGGCCGTATTAGTTCAGGTCAATTGAATAGGCCGTTTGTGACACACAGCCCATAGGCCATACACAAGCAATCCAGCACGTTGCGTATCGAGTGCTGGACGGTGGACGCCCGTAAATATGAAGGGCATAAATGAACCCTTTATAGCGGGTTACTATTGCTTCACTTTATTTAAAAATCATTTACAGAATATGCAACAAGTATGCAATTAAAGATGTCTGCCCCCGAGCTTATGACCGATTATTTCGATTAACGGCCCGACGATAATCTCATTTGAACGAACGCCGATTGTTTCGTTCGCTTTTCCTTCACTATTATGTAATCCATAGAATCTATTCTCTTTCAACCGTGTTTCGGTTCGGACTCGTACTAAATACACGCCGGATCTCTACTTTCGATTTGGCTAGCTTTTGTTTTATTGGCCTTTGTGTCTTTTCTCGACCTTTTCTTTGAATTTTTATTCACGAGCTCCACCCCCACCCCCGTGATTTCATGGGTGAAACCCATTTCATGGGTGGGCAGGAAAGAACGATTTCATCAACTAAGATCACGTCAGTTGAGATTGATTGATTCGACTAAATAGCGCTGCTGCTTATTTCCATCGCTACTAGAAGCCCATAGTATATCAACGGTAGATTTCTGTTTGCATCAGATCCCGTCGACCCGTGCCCAACAGCCGTACAAAGGACAACTACCGGCTAAAACAGCGGAAAATAAAATCCGAGTTAACCGCTAAAAAGGATTACAGAGAAGAGGTTGTATGAGCGCCCATTTTCGAGCATGTGTTACTTTTAACATTGAACGATGTGTAACGACCCGAAAATTCAAAGTAATAAAAACAACTCTGTATATTCTGAACACCCAAGTTGAGTATTTGTTTTTCGGACATCCTCGTACTAGGTTTCACCCATTGACAAGATCGTAATAGTAATGAGAATATTTAAAGCAACATGCTCGTTAAATTATCACTTGGTTCATTTACCGATGCAAAAACGTGGTTGTTTCCATATCGTTCGTATACGGAATGATAATGACACGGTGTGTTTTGCGGTAAAACTAGCCATACTGCAAACGTTATCGGCGATGCATATATATATGGAGGCGCAGTCTTACTTCACGAGAAAAAACATTAGTACTTAGTAAACATATTTGTTAGCTATTTTACATACAATTATAATAACCAAAAGTTTACCGTATGCATTTAGCAATAATAATCATAAGCAACCTTACCTTCATTATAGCTACATAAAAATACTGCGAGTCACTGTTACCTCCACTTCTACCCCCCCCCCCCCCCAAAAAAAAAAGGAATCTACATGGACACATACATTAGCCTTTTTCGTTACTAATACACATGGCCATATAGAAATGACTACGCAGAACAGGAGGAAAACTTCTGAATGAAAATTTCTATACGCCAATCGATAATTCGAACTTAGTCCATTTAAGTATATTGCATGTAACTTTTGTTATATGATTACGATTCGTTCATATGAGAAGTTCAGCGACGTTGCCCGATCGTACTTTAACCCCACCTTTTCAGTTTTCTTGACACGCCTTTTTTGTATGCTGGCCCAATACTATTCATGAGCACGATGCTACTGCAAGCCCAACACAACAAGTTTGCATGCAGCGTAGTAGTGCCCAGTGGATTCTTCGCAGGCTTTATTCTGTGGCGGACTTTTTTAAACCGGAAAAACCCCCAGGAGAGACTGGACTAACCAGAAACATCAAATTACTACGTCAGCACTGACAGAAATCTGCGTCATGTTTTCGCCGCTAGAAGCTAGCCAACAGCAGTATGCACGTCAGACCATGACGGCACACACACACGCGTTCGGTTGAGTTCATCGCGTCCAGAATTTCCGCTGGAGGGGATGTTTTGTACGAGGGGACTTTTTTGATCTTAGACATGTAGATGGTTCAAAGATAACGTGTTAACTAACTTTTGACATTGGCATGGTGTCTCCACAACAACAAATGTTTAACATGCTCATAATACGGGAGTAAACAAAGAACTAATCGTTATACATTTCAAGTGTCTGGCTTATTAACGAGCACCTAATTATCATACTTCTAGACGACGGCGGTTGAAGGCGGACGCTCTTCTTATTGGACTTGTAGAGGTAACTGTTGTTGAAGACGAGCACGAATTACTCCGCACGACGCGCTTACTTGAGATTTCGTTTCGTCACCGTGCATAGGTAAAAAAGAACGACTTCATGCTCAAATTTGCGTACGTCCATTCGTACACAAAGTACCACGGAGACATCACTCAGCTGAGTTCGGCTGAAGATATTCATTGCCAGTATTTATATGCACCGAATGCTCGACTTTGAACAGGAAGTCCGACATCTCTTCGCTTGATCATGGGATACGATTATTAGCGATGTTCAACCGACAGCTTTCGAAACGAAAACATTAATACGACAGCCGCAATCCAAGCAGATGTTATTTCACCACCTGTCGAGAGGGTACCATCTATGATAACAACGTTTTCTTACATTAGTCTCGTCGTCACTGATCGATAAGATCGGCACCTAACGAAGTTAGCGGCTAGAAGCTTTAATCGGCTCTACTCTATCCGGTTTTTCAATCCAATGGTAGCAGAAAATTAAATAAAGCCAACACTATGACATTAGATGTCATTGTACTGGTACAGTCTGCTCTATTTCTATCCCGTGCCGTTAGTACAACGAAGAACAAGTCCCAAGGTCAGAAACGGTTCTAGCGGTCAGCGGCAGTTTTTGATCGGTCGGTCCGTTCTACGAAGCAGGGCCATTGGGCGACTGCTGCTGCGTGTGCTAACCCGCCACAGCGGAAATCAGAACTCGCTCTGGTTAATTGGCCGGCAGATTCACTTGAATTCGTCTCATAAATAGAAAGTTGCTTGATGCACAGAGGAGAAACAGCTGTCACTGTTTTTTATCATTTCGCCATTGCATACGTCCGTACTACGCGCTTCACAGTAAATTTCACAAGCGAAAACCACTGTATGGGACTCTGGTTTTAAGATTCGAATTTGCTAACCACTCATTTGCACGCTGTCCTACTTCGTGCCCTCTCTGGTCATCGAGGTCAATGGACAATCAGACAGGGCGTCTGATCAAACCGAGATGGGATGTAGACAAAAATGACTGGTACAGCCGAGGTCACACTTTCGCCATGTAAACCTACTTAGCCTTCGTGCCAACGATCACATTATCTTCAATTAAACTTGCAATTGTGTTTTTTTCGTTTATCCAAGTCGAATATAGTAATAAGATATGTTGGAGCCGCAATTAACAGGGCGCTTCAGTTTTCAATCCATACGTTCAGGTCGCCTAACAGGCTGTCAAATACGAACCCGAATCTCCGACCTAAGTCGAAACGAATTATTGACTTCAGTCAATATTCGCTAACGGTACGACCTCACACGAGCTTCTATGTACGGTATGGAGCAACAACAAGTACTATAATATCCTTGTCGAATGAACTATGTGCCTCATCTAAATGTTATATAAATATTATGCAGGTCGTCAGCAGGGCAACATTGACGAAGAGATAGGGCAGGATATAGTTAGCAGGTCGATACAAGTAAATCCTTTTAGCATTGTGGCACTCACTAATACCTAAAGAGTATACTGACTTTTATACTACCGATCCAACAAGAATCAATAAATGCGCAGCATCATAGGAGCGCGATAGGATCGGGCTCACGCCCTATTATAGCGAAGGCGCACGTCAAGGACAGCTACTCTACAGGTTCAATTCTCATCCATCGCGGATTATCTAACACAAGCGTTTACACGCTTCCCTCAGTAACCTTCATTAAATTACACGAAGAACAAATCACCATCGAGACCACACTGCATCGTTAGAATACTCGTAAATACTAGTCGACTTAGATTAAAATCTAACACTGACTTGAAATCCTCGGAAAAAGAGGAACGTAATTCCGCCCGTCCGTCCAAAATCCAGTCGGGTCAATGCAACTTACCACCACTTGGACTTATACACTTTTGTAACGTCGTATCACCCTGTAGCGTGTAGTCAACGATTAAACAGAAAACCTATTGCATTAGCATCCATTGTGATAAACTCTGTTCATGCGATATTCGTCCGTTACCGATCACCGTCAAGCACCAAACGCCTGCAGCCGTATTGTTATTATGATGTTTTATTATGGTGCTAGCTATGTGAGGCAGCAGCTCTCGACACATTCGCCACCGCAATCATGGCGGAACTATAACTTCACCTACATATACGTACGCCTCTGACGTCGTTTTCCAATGCTCCGGGATACTAAACGTACGTATTGAAATTAAGAACTGTCCTTCGAATTCGATCAGGCGGCGGCTTTAACTAAGTTTATGCAGTAAGTAATATCACCCGATATCCGTTGCTTAACGACAAAGCAACTTTAAAGCGATGCGCAATAGTTTTCTGTTCCCAGATGTACGACTAGAATAGAACATCGTATTACTTCAGTTAACATAACATAGTATACTGAGAACGAATGGCTGCTGAGCTGGACTTCGTGGTACACTGGCGCTTGACAGTCAGACACCCAAAGACTTTTCACTAATTGTAGCGTTTCAAGGCAGACAGTTACTACGGCCGGTAACTCTACTCAGG